CTTGGTGGTCGGTAAATAATATTTCCTTGATTTATGTCAGCTTGTGTAAAGTACCTTACAGGGAATTGTGGCCTCTCTTTGTGCTCCAAGGTACCTTCAAATTGATAGGAAAGAGAAGGGAACATTTTTAATCAATCCTTTTCAGCTTGAAATCTGAATATTTTATTATGACTGCCTTTTTCTAAAATTCATACCCTACTGAAAGGAAGGAGAATTCATCATTTACCACACATAGTGGTAACATTCTGAAAGGATAAAGTCCTAACATGTTTTAAATTAGTCAGTATTCCTAATTTATTTTAAAATGCTTCTCTTGAGCTTTGTAAACAGCAGGTGTGGAGAGTAGTGAAAGAATTCAACATTTAGGTCAAGTTATAGACATATTTAGACAAATCTGCTCTGTGAAGGTGGGAAGACACTGTGGTTGATTTACTAAAACCAGAGAGTGCTAAATCTGTTGCAGCTGTGCATGGTAGCCAATCACATTCTAACTTTAGCTTGTTCAGTTAAGTTTAGTCAATAAAACCTGAAAGCTAATTGGTTTCTATGAAGAACTGCACCACTTTTTTCTCCAGTTTTAGTGAATCAACCTAAAAGACTTGGAAATAATCTGAAAGTACCTATCTATAGGCAATCAGACACATTCACGACTACAGGAGGATAAAGCTTCAAGATAATCTACTAAAAAAAAAACTGTGTGTAAAGAACTTGAATAATGTTGAGTAATTGTGCATAAAGGTACAAAACAGTATACTGTAGACAAGTAAAATTCTTCATCATTACCAGTGTTTATTGCCAGTATTATTTACTCCCATTTATATCAGCACTGTGCACTATTTTTGTTTTAAACTGAGGAAAGTGCCATAAAATCGTCTTCTAAAATCTGGTCAAGTGATTCTTTTACAGCGCAAAAATCAAACAGACAATGGTGATGAAAAAATTAAAAACCAATAGTGATAAAGCAATAAAACATTCACTGTCCCAAATAAATGGTGATTAAGTGCTCCAATAAAAAATGGCGCCAAAAAGAAATGTGTTCTTTAAATGATATCCCCACACCATCCGTGATCACCTACTGGTACAATCCACACTCACCAGATTTGATGGACTTTTATGGACTTGTAAGGCTTAAGAGTCAAACAAGCTTTTATTGGTGAAGTGTGTTCCCAGGAATAAACCAGATTCAGAGCAGAAATGCTTGCTTAATCTTCAACAACCATCAAATGGACAGATGAGATGCAAAAAACAAGGGGGACACTAATAGTGTAATACTCTTTTATTCAATTAAAACCAAAGTATTATTGCACTCGCATGTCATAAGACAATAAGGGCTTTAAATGGTATAAAACTTTGTGATTCCCACATCAATAAGTATTAGACTGGTAGTTCCCACATAAATAGGAAATAGACCGGCAACTGTGTGATTCCCACATCAATAGATAATAGACCGGCAACTGTGTGATCCCACATCAATAGGTGATAGACCAGCAACAATAGCTCCGGAGCTCCGCTGATGGCATGCAATCCACTCACCGGATGTGACGTCACAAAGCCCTCGCCGGAACCAGAAATTACGTTGAGGCGTTTCGCCCCTCCTCCAGAGCGTTCTCATAGACAACCATCTCCAGTTCCTGCTCACAAGATATACCCAACCACTACTCCTCCCACCTTTGTGACTCACTTCTCATTAACGATATCGGCTTCACAGCCTCCCACCCTCACGACTCACTTCCTATACTGGCTTCAAATCCTAAAATTAAACATAACTTCCTGACACTCTCACTATGGCCAATATACAAAACATATATACAAAGAGTATATACTTACAAAATACATAAATGAATATAAAAATGACCAATTAATTCATGAATTAATATAAAAAAATGAATCAATCATAAATCTTAGGAAAACAAGAGACCAGGTAAAAGATATAGATAGGGAGGAACTGTTAAAAAAGAAAAAGAAGAAAGGAGATGATTATGGGTTGGCCTTTATTACAGGATTTTCTAAACAATATAGGCTAGTTGAAAATATATTTAGAAATCATTGGCCGATTCTATTGCAGAATTATATACTGGGAAGGATTTTGCCCAAAAAACCCAGGTTCATCTATAAATAACCACCCACTCTTAGGAATAAACCTGTGAAATGTCCCTGATCCTCCATGTAAAAAGGCTACTTTTTTAGATCAAGTGGGTTTCGTTAAATGTGGGAGGTGTCTACGTGTAGCACATTGAGGAATAATAATAATTTAAAAAAAAAACAAAAACGAATTTTCAGTCCTATACCGAAGGTGAAACTTTTAAAATAAAAAAATGTGTTTCATGTGCAAGTACTCACGTCACCTACCTTCTAGAATATCCCTGCCAATTTTAGTATGTAGGGATAACTACTAGAAAGCTTGCTGCACGGCTTAGTGAACATACATGGAACATCAAAAAAAAGGTTTTAAACACCATAGCCTTTCTTATCACTGTAGGAAATTCCACAATAGGGATCCATCTTTGTTGAAATTTTGTGGGATAGACAGGATTGAACCTCACTGGCGTGGTGGGGATTTAACCACCTCCGGCCTGCCATATATTCCAATGACGGGCGCAAGGTGGTTCTCTCGTTCTGGGAGGACTTCATATGACATCCTCCCATTCTCACTGCGCATGCGCAACTCAGGGAGCGCGCAGCACGGCGATTGGCGGTGCGCTGTGTCCCTCGGACACAGCGGATCACCGATCTACGGAAGGAGCCAAAGATGTCGGCTCGGTCATGTGATCAGCTGTGTCCAATCACAGCTGATCACATGTAAACAGGGAAATGCTGGTTATCGGCATTTCTCTCCTCTCGAGCTGTCACGCTGACAGCTCGAGAGGAGAGGAGAGCCAGTAATCGTCATTCCGCGGAGGGGACATGTACACTGATCATCAGGGCACTGATGATCAGTGTGGCCCCAGAAGTGCCACCTGTCAGTGTCCATCAGCGCCAGCTTTCAGTGCTGAACAGTGCCACGTGCCAGTGCCCATCAGTGCCACATCAATGCCACATATCAGTGCCTACCAGTGCACATCAATGTCACCTATCAGTGCCAGTCAGTGCCACCTATCAATGCCAATCAGTGCCACCTATCAGTGCTGCCAATCAGTGCCACCTATCAGTACCAGTCAGTGCTGCCTATCAGTGTGCATCAGTGCCGCCTATCAGTGCCCGTCAGTGCCGCCTATCAGTGCCAGTCAGTGCCACCTATCAGTGCCAGTCATTGCCACCTTTCAGTGCCGCCTATCAGTGCCATATAGCAGTGCTGCCTTTTAGTGTCCATCAGTGATGCCTGTCAATGCCCATCAGTGCCACCTACCAGTGCCTGCTCATCAGTGCCCATCAGTGCCACCTATCAGTGTCCATCAGTGCAGCCTATCAGTGCCCATCACTGCAGCCTCATTAGCGCACATCAGTGAAGGAGAAAAATCACTTATTTACTAAATTTTATAACAAAAACTAAGAAAAAACTTTTTTTTTCAAAATTTTCAGCGGTTTTTGGTTTGTTTAAGAAAAAATAAAAAACCCAGAGGTGATTAAATGCCACCAAAAAAAAAGCTCTATCTGTCACGAAAAAATTATAAAAATTTCATATGGGTACAGTGTTGCATGACCGCGCATTTGTCATTCAAAGTGTGACAGCGCTGAAAGCTGGAAATTGGCCTGGGCAGGAAGGGGGTATAAGTGCCCTGTAGGCAAGCGGTTAAGGAAGGCAATCTCGCAGAATAAAATAAAATGGATCCTCAGATTGGATACTTTAGCCCGTAAGGGGTTAAATGTAGATATAGACTTAAATAGTTTTTTGTCAAATTGGTAATCAAATTATTATGTGTACCTGAATTATGTTTAAGGTCTGATTTTATTCATTATATCTTTGTTGGAGTATACATAATTTTAGCAATAAAATAGTAGGGGGGGGGGGGGGTTTATTCTTATTTCTTGGTAATATATATTAATTTAATTTGTTAATTTTAATTTAGTTTTATGATTGATTCATTTTTTTATATTAATTCATGTATTAATTGGTAGTTTTTATATTCATTTATGTATTTTAAAAGTATATACTCTTTGTATATATTTTTTTGTATATTGGCCATAGTGAGAGTGTCAGGAAGTGATGTTTAATTTAGGATTTGAAGCCGGTATGCTCAAATAGGAAGGGAGTCGTGAGGGTGGGAGGTTGTGAAGCCGTTATAGTTAATGAGAAGCGAGTCACAAAGGTGGGAAGATTAGTGGTTGGGTAGATCTTGTGAGCAGGAACCGGAGATGGTTGTCTGTGAGAACGCCCTGGCGGAGGGGAGAAACGCGTCGACATAATTCTGGTTCTGGCGAGGGCTTTGTGACGTCACGTCCGGTGAGTGGAATGCATGCATCAGTGGAGCTCCGGAGCCATTGTTGCCGGTCTATCACCTATTGATTTGGGAATCACACAGTTGCCAGTCTATTTCCTATTGATGTGGGAACTACAAAGTGTTGCCGGTCTAATAATAATAGTGCAATAATACTTTTGTTTTTAACCGAATAAAAGAGTATTACACTATTAGTGTCCCCCTTGTTTTTTGCATCTCATCTGTCCATGTGATGGTCCTTGGAGATTATAAAGCAAGCATTTTCTACTCTGAATCTGGTTTATTCCTAGGAACACACTTCACCAATAAAAGCTTGTTTGACTCTTAAACCCTACAAGCTAAGTCCATTGACTCTGGTGAATGTGGATTGTACTGGAAGGTGATCACGGATGGTGTGGGGATATCATTTAAAGAACACATTTCGTTTTGGCACTGTTTTTTTTTATTGGAGCACTTAATCACCATTTATTTGGGACAGTGAACTTTTTATTGCTTCATCACTACTAATTTTTAATTTTTTCATCACCATTGTCTGTTTGATTTTTGCGCTGTAATACTATATTTTATTTTTATAATTGATTCTTTTGATTTGCTTCCTATATCAAAAGTTTATAACTTGATATAGTTACTTGATACTGGGAGTTTATTCTCTGCAAAAATGTCACAGGCAGGAATTCTGCAGCCAATCAGAACAAGACTTGCTAAAGTTACTACAGGGACTGCACCTCCCATACACACTTTGAGCTGTTGCAACACTGGAACTGGCAGAATGGCTATGATGCCACAGGTAAACGCCACAGGAAATGCTACTAAGAATGACACCAAGAATGTTGGCTGAATAGAACAGTATAAATAGTAAAGTACATTGAGTGGGGAATAGGATTGCCAGAGAAGAAAATTATATTTGTCATGACTTTTCCCTGTAAATGCTAGCACCATACAATAAACAAAACTGACTGAATATCCTGCAAAAAAATCAAGAAAGAGCACTAAAGTGAATTCTGATTGATTGTTGACTCACTTACCTGTTCCATGCTTAAGTACCAGGATTTTCCCTCTGTGTGTAGCCGTAGGCTCCAGCTGATCGCAGAGTGGGCATGGGCTGTTTATGCAACACATCTACACACTAGCAGCAGGACTCCCAGTGTTCTTTTAAAGTGTTTTCCTGTGCTTCCAGTTATCTTTTACATTTTCTAGTGTGTTCCAAGTGTGTCCCAGCCCGCTTCCTGCCCTGTGAATCCTGTTCTCCAGTGCTGCAAGGGAGTTTCACCTGCATAGCTGTGGCCAGCTTGGGTGAGTTGAAGAACCACAACATCGGTGTCACCTGCACCGTAACATCTCCACTTCTAGGAGCTCTACTGAAGACCAGGTTGTACCTTAGATTCTGCACCTCGGTCCTTTTCAGGACTCTCACTATTGCTAAGTGAGCATGCATGCCGAACTCTATGAGGGAGATTTACTAAAAGTGGTGCACACAGAATCTGGTGCAGCTGTGCATAGTAACCAATCAGCTTTCAGATTTTATTGCCAAAGCTTAATTGAACATACTGCACCAGATCTTCTGTGCTCCAGTTTTAGTAAATATCCCCCTCTGTGTCATCTCTGTAGCTGTTGCCACTATCTGCTCTGTTGCCTCCTAGTGGAAGCAGATTCCCAAGTATTTACAGTTTTCTCAGACCAACATGCCTAAGTCTTCACATCAACCTGCGGATCCAAACACCAATCGCTTCTAAAGACTTTCTGCCTATGAGACCACCCAAGTTCAGATGGCGTGTCACCTCCATGCTTTTGTGGGTATCAGAAGGCCTGTCACGAAATTGTGAACCAATGCAACATCCACTCTGAACTACAGCCACAACATTTCCATTCTGACCATACTAAGGTGGCTTATGCTGTGTCCCTGCTCTCTGGGGATGCTTTGGCTGCTCCATTATAAGAAAGATTTGATCCAGTTGCTAACAGCATAATAGCATTCTTAACTTCCTTCAGGAAAGTTTTCAATGAAGCTGCTTGAGCCTCCTCCACAACAAGTGCCTCTTTCGGCTCCGTTAAGGTCCCCTTACAGTGGGGCAGTCTGCCATTCAATTTCACACTTGTGGCAGAGCTCTCCTGGAACAATGAAGCTCTCACAGCTACCTACTGGCAAGGCCTAGCAGAATGCATTAAGGATGAACTGGCAGACTAAGAAATTCCTACCAATGTGGATAATCTTGTCTCTCTGGGTATCCAGATTGACAATCACTTCCAACTGTGTGCCCAGCAGTGCAAAGCCTACATGGCTTGTTTGGTTCCAAATTTCCAGTGTCCCTTCAAACCACCTAAGGTCACCCCTCTGCATCCCCTAGAGCATTCTATACAATTGGGCTGCCTGTGCTTTTTTTAGGGGAAAGAACCAGCTCTCAAGGTCTCTATTTACTGCAGCCAAAAAATAAAACTTTTTTAACACCTTCCTGCCAGGCCTATAGCAGATTGATGGCCTGGCAGGACACTCCTCGTTGTGACTGGGCGTCATATGATGTTCTGTCAAAAGCAGCAGCTCACGCAGCAGCGCAATCTGTCACTGGCTGTGTAGATGTATCACTACATCGGACCATTGCCAGTGTCATGTGACCGCTGTGACCAATCACAGCAGATCACATGTCAATTGTATACAATGGATGGCTTCCTGTCATTATTATTATACAGGATTTATATAGCGCCAACAGTTTGCTCAGCGCTTTACAATATAAAGTAATTCAAATCATTGTATACAATTGTGTTGCTAGGTGTGATTGCTCAAACCAGTCACATGGTACAAACAGGGCCAATCACAGACCATCTATATCATGTGATGAGCTTTCCTCAATCACAGCTAATCACAACAAAAGACTGAATGAATCAGTTTCATTCTGTAACAATGATTGCAAATACATTGATATTAGCAATCATAATGTGTAAAAACAAATCCTGATCACTTGCTCAGAGTAGTTCAATGTTACTATGGTAACACTGTATTGCTTTGGTCACAGTGTTTTGAAGAAAAAAATAGTAAAAAAAGAAAAAAATTATGTAATAGAGAATTTTGAAAACAAAAAGTAATTATTATTATTATTTTTTTTTTTTTTTACATACTGTCACCAGTCAAGTGTCCCTGATCTGGACTGGTGACAATATGTTAAAAAACAAATTGTGATTTTTTTTTATTTTTTTCAATTTCTAAATTTTCCAAAAAATTGTAACAAAAAATAACCACCTCCAAAAAACTCACCATGTCTCTTACTAAATACCTTGGACTGTCTATTTTCCAAAAATAGGTAATTTGGGGGGTATTTGTACTATACTGGCATTTTTGCGCCTCAAGAAATGAGATTGGCTGTCAGTATATTGATTGATCGATTGTCAGATATATATACCATGGTTTGTGGACTCTATAACTTTCCTACAGACTAAATAATATACACTAATTTGGGATATTTTCACCAAAGACATGTGACAGAATACATTTTGACCTAAATTTATGAAGAAATGTTATTTGTAAAATTTTATAACAAAAACGAAGAAAAATTAGTTGTTTTTTTTGTTGTTTAGCAAAAAATAAAAAACTCAGTGGTGATTAAATACCACAAAAAGAAAGCTCTATTTGTGTGAAAAAAATTATCATATTTTTTTTTTTTATGGGTACAGTGTTGCATGACCGCTCAATTGTCATTCAAAGTGCAACAACACTGAAAGCTGAAAATTGGCCTAGGCAGGAAGGGGGTAAAAGTGCCCGGTATTGAAGTGGTTAAACATC